GGGCGGAGCTCGGGCTCACGTTGGGATCCTGTGCTCACCTGCACAGCGTCACGGCCGAGAAAGGTGCTTTGTGCTATGGAATTGTGCGTTTTTGGCACCGTTTTGTGATTTTTTGRCACCGTCTTGGTTGGTAGAGGAGGCTGCTGAGAGGCTGCGAGGAAAGAGAAGAAGGGAAAGGGAAAGGGGAAGAAGGGAAAGGGCCGATGCTCAGCCCTGCRTGGGCAGCGTGGCCCCAGCCACGTTCGCCTCTGGCCCCACAAGCAATCCCTGTTTTCTATCCTCATTTAGTGGAGGCAGAAGAGAGGTTTCCAGAGCGCGCCAGCACCCGCCAGGCGTAGCCTTGGCCTCCACACCAGCCCCTTTGACCCCGCAGGGTCCCTCCCGGCCCTGTTTGCTCTTTCCAGGTTGCTGAGAACAGAGCTGTGCCCTGGTTTCTATTCCCAGTTTGAGTTTCGCAGGACGAGTAAGTGCGGTTTTGGATCAGCGCGGAGCAGACAGATTTATTGGATTACCTCATAGCAAAGCGAGCATGTTTCGTTGTCACATGCATATATATTTTCCCCCTCTTCTGAGAGATGTTTTAATCTCCTGATGCCAGGGTGAAAATGCTGCATTGGCTGTGAGATAGGGAGAGGGCACCACACACTGACCGCTCCAATAACGTGCACCAGTAAATACCGTGCAAGAGCTCAAGGATCCTGATTTCTGGATACATAATATATGCGAAGTTAAGCTGTTGCGAAAGCACACAAAAGACTTCTCTGAACCTTCATAAATTCATATGCTTTAAATTAGAAATAAAATAGTCTCTCTTTTCTCCATTAATGGCAAAAATGATAGGTCTTAGCGGTGCCTAATACTCAGCTCGCTGCAAAGAGTACCAAATTCCTCTGTATTCGCCACATATATTTTATTGCTGTAATTTGTGGCTCTCCGAAGCAGAATAATATTTTTCCTTCAGTGAATATTCCAGCGCAAGTTAAAGGTCTCCGATGCATTCCTTAAAAGCGACAGTTCATTGCAGCGAGGGCCTTGCTTTATTTAAAACCATACTTATTCATGAGAAAAGAGGCATAAAATCTAACGCCATCCCCGTTATATATGGCATGGGAGCGGAGCAAGGGCTGGAGCATCACCCCTGCACCACATCCGTTGCTTTAGCCAGCAAACTTGTGTAGCAAATGAATTTTTATTCAGTGCTGGTTGTCAGATTTTGTTTTGCTCCGTATTTTTAGCAAATTCGGTGCGTTTTTAAGCTTCGCCAGGCTGGTGCACCCAGTTCCATGGGACCAATCCCTGCAGACGCCGGCACACTCCTCTCGCMGCCCCTCCATGGCTCTCCCGCAGAATCCGCCTTCTCCAGCTCCCTCGTAGGTGTTCCCCAGCTTGGGAAGCAAATGTGTTGGGTTGTCGCCGGCTTCACGGAGGGTCCTTTCTCGTTTCGAGTAGGTGGATTCATTGCGGCGCCCGGGCTTAGAATAGCGCTTAGCTTAAGTGCTGCTGGGAAAGGCAGGGGATCCTTCCAAACCCCGTTCCTTGCAGCTTTCCCGAGCAGGGAAAAGCAGCCGGTGTCAGCAGTACGGCTCGCAGTCGAGCAACAAATAYGGGCGATATTTGGGGGCAGGAGAAAACTGCCAGCGCTTATTGTCGAGCAAAGAGCTTCTCAGAAAACCAAAAAAAAAGAGAAAAAAAGTTTTCTACGAGGAGAATCAGATTTCAGTGGCTCCTCCTGCCTTGGCAGCCGGATTTAGCCTCGTTTGGTCCGGTGGAATCCACTCTTTTATAGCTCGGCTCGTAGCTGGCAGCGCGACAAAGGGTTTGTTCCTCTTTGGAGAGAAATCTGACCAAAGGACACAGCACTTCAGCAGACCCCCCCATAACCCAAGACATCTTTCCCTTCCTTGCCTATGTCGAGATACCTAATGGTTCCCCTTGACAGCTCCGTCGTGTTCTTCACACCCTGGATTTATCTCATGCCTGGACGAGGACAAATCTTCAATGAACTCCAGGCTTTTGTCCCTTCTAAAGCCAAACAAGGAGGGTTTGCAATTACTCTGGCGAGGAAGGTATAAATAACTGTGCAAATAATAATTATGCCTAATTAGCTGCGTTTGCCGTGGTGCCAAGTGATCTTGCAGTGCTTCTGGCATCCCGTGGAAGGCGGAGGAAGCAGCAGGGCGGTTGCCTGGCTCTGGTTAGCACAGCTGGTTATGGAGGCGTTGAAGGACCGAGTGGAAGGTTGACCTCGCTTTGCGCTCTCTTACAAGATGAGATTTTGCTAGGAAAGGTACCGGTCTCCAAAAAGGCCCTTTTGCTGTTGGTTTCTCCAAGCTTTTTGTTGGTCTGCACCCTAGTTCTGCACGATCCCAACTAGAAAGCAGAGGGAATTGGGCGTGAAATAAGAAGTCCCTGCCTTGGGAAGTCCTATTTGAGAGGTGTGGTGGAGCGAGCCCTCCTGCCAGGGCCACTGCTTGGGCCGCCTCTAGGTAATGCAGAAACCTTTGGGTCTTGGTGGCGGCCAACATCATCCCAGACCTCGACTGGGCATGTAATTTATTCATGCGATGCAAACTTCTTTCCACTTCATGGGTTTGTTATAGCTTAAGTGAATCATGTTTCTCGAGCAAAATTGGAAGTCGAGCTCAGCTGGCGCTGGAGCAGGGTCTGCTCTCCACATTGCTGTGGCCACCAGCTAAGGCGTTTGTTACCCAGAGGAGAAKGGAAAAGGAAGAACAGAGATGATGATGGATGAAGAGAGAGGTTTCCGAGCCGAAAGGTTGCAGAGCTGCTGAGCAGCAGCTCRCTGAGCTCTGCTCAGCAAAAGGGCATCAACCCGTGCAGCGCCCGGCATGGCGCGCTCGTTTCCTTCCCCGACCCCKCCAGTGAGAATCCAGAAATGCCACTGCCTTTCTGCAGTTTTATTTCATTTTTTTTCTTCTCTCCTTTTCCCCTCACAAAATACTCAAAGGCGTATTTTCGTGTGTGCTTTGGTACCTGGAGCGAGGAAATGAAGTCGTCGTATTTCAGCTCCCGGAAAATTAGCCTCGAGGGGATAGTGCCRTGGAGAAACGTTGGTTATTTCTGGGGTTTGGGGGATAGCCCGTGTGAAGGTTGGGGCCTCTGGTGCCTCTCGTTCGTTATACCGACATCTAACAAGAAGATGTTTTCTTCCCCAAGGAATCTCATGTTTGGTACGTAATGCACACAGCAACTTTTGTTTTTAGGAAACCTTAACTTTTTTCATCATGCAGAAGCCTCCGGCGGACAAGACTTATTGCATGTTAGTGGCTTCCTGGGTCCTGGTGACTCCAAGTTAAGCTGACTTGAGTGGCAACATTAATTATTGTAGGGAGCATCTATTAAACGGAGTTATTATGCATTAAAAAGCAGGCTGAGAGCACTGACTTTCTAAGGAAGCCCAGATTAATGGTTTGAAAGGTTTTGCAAATTTATCAGAGAAATGGAAATCTTAAAAAAAAAAAAAAAAAAGGCTTGCAGAAAAGAAAGACGGCTTTGATTTCTGCTGCTCCTATAGATACCATAGTTAAAGATCTAATTTAGGTTGCGGTTTGGGGAAGCATTTATGGATTATTGGCATTYCCAATCTCCGCGCTTCACTCTGAGATTAATTAGAAGGCGATAAATTTGGAAATGTGCTGCACGAAGCCATTGTAACGCAAGGCACTTGTAGAGCACTTCCCAGAGCTGCTGCAGGGGCATTGCAAGAAAAATATCGTTTGGAAGCGGAGCGAGGGAGATGATCTTTCCCTTTTTTGGCATATGAAGCTCTAATATATATATATATGTTTTTTATATATATATATATGTTTTTAAATAAAAGACGAGTTTTCCTGTGTGACAAATTGAGTTTTCATTTGCAGCCTTGTGGAAAGGAGCACGATCAGCACTAGTAGGTACCCCCAAGAAGGGAGAAACAGTCTGAAGCCTTGAATTTGCTTGGAAAATGCTAGTTATGTTGCAGGCTAGGGGGAATTATTCGTAAAGTCACAGGCCTCTGACCTGAAAAAGCAAGTTGGCACTGTAGAAGACCCAACTTTTTATTCAATTTTGCAGTTGCCTTTTTGACACCCCCATTTTTCCATTCTCACCACACCGGCCTGAGTGTTAGTTGTGAGAGAAACAAGGAACGTCCTTTCAGAGACTCAACCCCGTGGTACAGAGAGCGTTTAGTTAATTTATTATTTGTGCAATTTCTCTGGGAATCACATCGTTTCTTGGGTGTGGGGATTCACTTTTGTTTCCAGCGAGGCTTTTTCCCGTTGGAAACGCTCATTTTGGGAGCCGGCGTTGGATGGCTGGCTCTGGACCCGCTTGTCTSCATGAGGAGCAAGTGATGGAAGCACCGTAGATACTTCTGACCCATTAACAATCTGGGRGGACATTTTGCTCCATATATACCTGTGTTTTATTTCAGGTGCTGCTAAGGCAGGTTGCTCTCCAGAACACAGGATCGAGTCCATCTCCTACGCTCCCTATTAGCATCCCAGGGGAGTGTTTTCCCACATAAAGGAGGCATTGCCCTGGCTTTCTGCAGGAGTTGGGTTATAGAGATGTCCCCTTCATAAAGTTTCTCCCTGGACGGGTTGAATCTGCACGTAAATCCGGATCTGTCCTGTTCCAGTGTAGGAATATTTCACTTTGCTCTAAAAACCTGATCCAAAAGCAGCTGGTGCTGAAGCATCTCAGAAACATGAGGGGGTTTTGGATGTCCAAAGACAAGAGTGTCTCCGCTTAAAGATCTTTGTAAAGTTAAAATATACCTGTATTTTGTTCAGCTTGTCTACCTATTTTTTCCAGTGTTTATGAGAGGAAGGGCATTATATATATATATAGAAAATGTTCACATACTATAATAGTACAGTAAGTTAATAAAACTTCTTTTTTCATATGAAAGAGATAAAGAAAAGTAACTAGCCAATATAGTACCATTAATCTATTCTCTTTTCTCCTTTCTCTCTTTACTTCTCTCTCTACAATAGAAGTGGAACAAAAAGGTAACTAAATACCTTTCAAATTATATATATATATATAACTTATGTATAGGCTAAGTTATTTAACAGCTTAACGTTTTAGTTGGAATACCTGTCATTAATTCTCCCTCCTTTTATTTCGTGGTTGTTGTTAAAAGTTTATTCAGTATCTCTGCTGCTCAACTTCACTGGATAACTCCTGGTTTTTCAGCTGGGAAGTGCTGCCAGTGCCGCTTCCTGGCATTAAATTCTTCTTTAGAGGTTTAGACCGTTTCCCTCTTTCCAACCCCAAAGAATTTGGGCAAGCATTGCATATAAGGGTATATATATATATGTATACGTGTGTGCGTGTGCATATGCACATGTATACACACATATGGGTAAATATATATATATATATCCCCATGCTGTGAAGGCCTCCTGGACGCAGCGCTGACCTGCTGGCTGCTGCCGTGGGCCCCGGTGGGGCCACGCGCTCCGAAAGCGGCCACTGGCTCCCTTCTCCTCTCCCATCCGCTGCCTTTCCGGCAAGGACGGGGTGCCCTGGAAGCCCGGGGGGTGCGGTGGGGTGTCCCCCAACTTCCAGCGGAGCCGGCGCCTCGGGGATCCCCCCCAAAACCCGGGAATGTCCCGTCCCTCGAGGCGGCCGCACTCCGAAGTCTGAGCAGCAAAGCCACCCGGTTAGTCCCGCCGCTCCCCTGTGCTCCTCTCCCATGTAACAGTAGAAGGTACATGTGTTTTGTTTATTTATTTATTAAGTTTGAACTACTACTCTATTTAACGGGACATTTTTTATTTATTTATTTGTTTTAACTGATTAAAATCTAGACCCTGGGTTCCTCTCCGAGCAGCCTTGACTCTTCTCCTTCCTTCTCTCCTTCCTTCGTTCCTCCGTTCCCTTGTTTCCTTTTCCTTTCAGCGGTTCATACATCATTCATTTCCAGTCATGTGGCCTGCATGCTGTGTGTGTCCTGTAGCGGCTCCAGAAGCTTCATTCCCAGTTAAACCAGTGGGCCTCTAGCTGGGTTTCCCCTGCTTCCCCATTTGCTTCAAAYGCTCCTGCGAGGCACTGGGGGATTATTCACCTCTGCTTTGCTCTCGGGGACCCGATAAATATTCCACCCCGCTCGGGCTGCGGCGGCCGGAATTTGGTTCTCTTGTTTCCCCTTCTAGGCCGCTCTCCTGGGGGGACACTTGGAAAGAGGCGCACGGAGCAGAGCCCCGGGATTGCACCCGCCGGCTCCGCGCTCGCTGCACGGACACGTCCCGGCAGCCCCGGGCCCGTGGGGCGCGCGGGGGGTTYGCGGGGCCGGGAGGTGGGGAGAGCGCCAAGGCGAGGAGCCAAAACCGGCAGGGAAGGCGGCGCGAGAAGGAAGGGAATGGGAGCAGTTTGGTGGAGCCGGCCTTGCTGCGGCCGCTCGGGCGCTGCTTTGGATCTCGACCCATCTCCGCTGCAGAGCCGGAGTAATCGAGAGGCCTGCGAGGCTGGGAATGGTGCCTGAAACGCTCTCTCTTTTCCCCTCCCTCCCGGCAGTTTTCCTGTGTCCCGGCCTGCTCAAGGGAGTTTACCAGAGYGAGCACTTGTTCGAGTCGGACCACCAGTCGGGCGCTTGGTGCAAGGACCCCCTGCAGGCGTCGGACAAGATCTACTACATGCCCTGGACGCCGTACCGCACGGACACGCTCACCGAGTACTCCTCCAAGGACGACTTCATCGCGGGCAGGCCCACCACCACCTACAAGCTGCCGCACCGCGTGGACGGCACGGGCTTCGTGGTCTACGACGGCGCCCTCTTCTTCAACAAGGAGCGCACCAGGAACATCGTCAAGTTCGACCTGCGCACGCGCATCAAGAGCGGCGAGGCCATCATCGCCAACGCCAACTACCACGACACGTCGCCCTACCGCTGGGGCGGCAAGTCGGACATCGACCTGGCCGTGGACGAGAACGGGCTGTGGGTCATCTACGCCACGGAGCAGAACAACGGCAAGATCGTCATCAGCCAGCTGAACCCCTACACGCTGCGCATCGAGGGCACGTGGGACACGGCCTACGACAAGAGGTCGGCCTCCAACGCCTTCATGATCTGCGGCATCCTCTACGTGGTGAAGTCGGTCTACGAGGACGACGACAACGAGGCCACGGGGAATAAGATCGACTACATCTACAACACGGAGCAGAGCAAGGACAGCATGGTGGATGTGCCCTTCCCCAACTCCTACCAGTACATCGCTGCCGTGGATTACAACCCCCGCGACAACCTCCTCTACGTGTGGAACAACTACCACGTGGTCAAGTATTCCTTGGATTTCGGGCCGCTGGACAGCAGAGCAGGTAAGGGCTGGAACACGCAGGAAAACRTGTTGTGTTTTCTGGCCTTTTTCCTTTGAGGTTGCTCTTAAAAAAAAAACAAAATAGGGGTCATTTTGCTCAGATCATAAAGTCTAAATATTATAGACTTTATTATAGACATCTCCTCSAAGAGAGGGATGTCTGGCCCTCAAAGGTCTTCCAACTTTTGGGGATTTTCTGTACAAAATTGCTCTTACACTTGTTTTCATTGGGTTGCTCGCTTAAAGAAGACCAACTTCTGCATCTTTTTGCAAGTATTATGCTCAAAATCAGTCTCTCTTAACCTAGATGTGATCTGACTGCCTTGGTGGTACATGAATTTCCARACTGTGTTTCCTGTAACGTTTGCAAATGAATATTCTTAAGCACAAATTTAAAGGAGTAGTAGTTGTCTCAGGCCTGTGTGTGTCAGGAATGCTGAAAAAGGAATGAGAAAGGCAGAATTAATGCAATCTGGACAAGAAAATGTTTGGTGAGTGAAATGGTTATTCCCCAAACGCTCTCATTATTTTAAAGTTAATAAGGAAGGTGAAGAAGCAGATGAATAGACACAGGTCTTCAGGCTGCAGAAGAGAAATCTGAGGAGCAGAAGGGCAGCGATTTTCTGTTTTTTCTACCAAAACATAAGGAAGAAGAGAAAGAAATTGTTGAGAAACAAGTGACAGCAGCTTCACCGTGAGCCCCCACTTCCCAAAAGGTGGAGCGAAGCAGAGCAACGTAGGAGTTATTGGTTATAGTGCAAACCAGTGGCATCCCTTGTGTTTCTGAGGGTTTCGCTCCTCTTTGAGGAGTATACTGCAGCAGACTCCCTGCTGGCCCTCTTTCTCAGCGGCCTGGTAATTTTGTGCTTATTTGGTTTTTTGCTGGTTTTCGGCCCTTTTCTGTCGGTCCCCAAGGTCCCCAAAAGGGGAACCTTTTTGGAGCGACAGAAAATGTAACTGCTACCTGTTTAATTAGAAAAAAATGAAAGTTAAAGAACGATTGTAAAATTGATAGGTAGAACAAATTGGTTGTTTTTTGAAAAAAAAAAAAAAAAGGATGGCAGATGAAGTTCTTAAAACTGGAGCTCCTAAAAGCAAAAATGGATTTTAATGAGAAAAGTGATATGCTTAACATCCCCAAGAGCCAGTATCAGGTTTGAAACTTGCTTGAAGTCCCCACAAGTGCAAGGATGTGTAAAATAAGAGCCAGGTGCTCAGGGCCCTGGTTCACATAGTCTTGAATGTCATTTTCAGCCTTTTCCCAAACCTCCCAGGCACTGGTAGGAGCTGGGGACCGTATCCCCTCTCTCTTCCCGGTGATGAAGCATTTGATGGATTTTTTAATTAAGAGTATGCTTGTGCACCCAGGTTTGGTAAATATTTGATAGGTCTGCTCGTGCAAAAGAGGTTTTTCTCAGCAGTTGCTGAAGAAATGTGCTTGGAGCAGCAGAGCCAGGAGTTTGGCCAGGAGGAGGGCTCGTCTTTTTCTGAATTTCCTCTGTTTTCCCTCCGTGCCGCTGGGCGCGTGCGGAGTATAGACCCAAAAGTTGGACTGACAGAGAGAAAACTCCTTCCTCAACCTGGTCCACCTTAATATTCACCAGCRTGGCTCGTTGTAATCATAACCCTCTTGTGATACTGTCTGGGTAAACAAATGCAGGAAAACACCAAGAGATCCTCCTCTCCAAAACACAAACCCCCTCCGATAGCTTTTCCTGSTACAATGCTGCATGGAAATGAGCATTTTTCTTCTCCAAACCTCGGATTTCGTCCCTGAAAAGGTGGCCCCCATAAAGGCTCTTGCTGTGTCCCCCAAGGGTGGAGGTGGGTGAGTTTTTGAGACCCACCTTGCAGCTTGGAAGGAAATGCGTTGGTGTTCCCACTTAAATAATGCTCGGGAGCCCCAGATATTGCAATATTGAGCATTTAACAGCCATACTGAGCTAAACAAATATGCCTTTGTAGCTAAGAAAGACACCGATCCCCCATGGCACTTCTCCTACAGCCCCTATACCCATAAGTGGCTTTCACACATTTCCTGTTAGCTGCTGGTCGTGCAGAGAGAAGCGGATACGGAGCCACCATCCCTCTCTCTGCTGCACATCCAACGTCCGTCCTCGTGTTCAGTGCCCCAGGATGCTCTCCTGGCATCTCTGGATGGCAACCACTGAATTTCAGCCACRGGCTATTTTTTGCTTTCTCCTTCCCTTCTCTCTTTGTCCTAAAGTGCTTCTACAATGCAGATAAGGTGAACCCGCTGTCCTTATCATATGCTAATTAAGCGCATTGGTGTCGCGGGTAAAGGATGCGGCGGCGCCGTGATGAATAAGGACTTTAAACACATGTGACACCTCGTTAAAATGTAATTTTCGCATCATAAATCTGAGGCCTTTCCTGCTGACAGATGAGTAATGTGGATAGTGGGCCGAGAGTCTTGAGTGCTTCCCAGCCGTCACGTGGCTCCTGGGTGGCTGGGGCTGCGCCCTCGACACGCTGYGTCCTTGCTGGGAAAGGCATCCAAAGGGCTGCTTGATTCCTTAATCCCACTAATGCGCCAGGCAGGAATTGCTTCTGCCTCAAGAACCTGTTGAGATGAGTCGTGTTGGGCATCTCCAAAGGTGGAGTCAGGGCAGCTGAGCCTGTTTGGACAGCTTGTCCTGGTGGAAATTGAATCATTTTTAGGGACCTACCAAACTCTTAATGGCAGCTCTTGCTGCCTTTCCTCCTGGCTTTCCTGCTATCCTGCCTAGTATCCCGCTGCTGTTCCTCATCACTGCTCATGGTGACAGTTCCCGGTTGGGTACCGTGGCTGGAAATTGGCCTTTGCATCCAACTCTACTAAACTGGACCATAAGCAGCCTTTATCCTCTGTTCTTTGCCCATAGGTTCACCTCCTATAGTGCATAGGCAGTCTAGTTAGTCTATAGTTACTAGTCAATGGTCTGTAAATATTTCAGCCTCTCTTTGTGTAGAAAGACCTAAGTTTGGAGCAGTATGGACACTCTTCGTCTTTATGAGCAAGCTGGCATCTCAGACTGCGTTTGGTGGCCACCCAGTACTTGAGCTTAGGAGGACAGGAGATTTCTCCTCTGTAGATACTCTGCAGCCCAGAAGTGCACACATCACACCTACTTCCCATTTGGAAACCTCGTGCATCTCTTGATTTCTATCCATTTTTTTTAAATTGTTCCCCTTTTTAGAAAGCAATACTTAACTAAAAATGCTGAGAAGGTCTCGTGCTGCCGGACGCCTTGCTGTAAGGTGAGATTTGCTGCCTTTTGTCAGGAAAGCACAAGTTTGCACCCTTACCTTCTCGTGAGGAATCTCAAAAAGTGTGAGACTCCTCAGCTTCAAAACACTTCCCTTTGTGCAGCTCTTCTAAATATTAATGCTGTTTGGCTGGAACAGCAGGAGTGTCTTCAGTGCTTCTCCAGGATGAATTAATATGTGCTTGCTCCTTCCTCCTAAATAAAAAAGTGCTGCTCCCCGTAGGACTGGGAGATGAGAGGTGGTCTTGGGTCTTGATAGTCCTTCAGTTGCTGCTCTTACCGTGATGCTCATAGTAAAACTGCTGGTTGTTTTTTTAAAAAGAAGCCATTAGCTGTGTATGAAGGCTGTCGGCTTTTGCTCTTCTGCAGTAAGCTACTTCAGGAATCTGTCTGGAGATTTGATTAATTGTAGCCTCGTTAAGCTCAAGGCCACCGGGTTGTCCCACTGATGTCCACTGCAGGTTCTCATTCTCACACAGGTATTTTGCAAGCCCAGGTCCAAGTGGGGCCTTCGGAGGCTGAAGAAGAAGCTCTTAGCCCAGGGCATGGAAGGAGAGATGCAACACATGCCTGAGAACCTCTCCTGTGGCATGCAAGGGATTGCACCGTGTGAGGTCTTTTCAGGGTTGGCTTTTTCACATGCGTTTCCTTCGTTTGGGAAGCTGCTGGCCAGGAGGTTTCTTTGGCTGCGATGGGGCTGCACAGGGTTGGGGGTTGAGCGCAGTGAGAGGCTCCTGAATGCCCCAGCCTTGAGCTTTGGGCAGCTTCTCTCCCCCAACCTCACCCCAGAACAGGATCAGAACTTGCTGGGGTTCTTCTCAAAGAGCCTGGGACCTGCATGCTGGAGGAGAGGCTGGTGTGACCACGGGCATGACCACCAGTGCTCCAACCACCTACCTTAAACRCTTGGCGTGGGACACGTCTCCCTACAGAGAGCATCAGGCCCCTGCACATAACATTTATGAAGCCTTCAGCTTGGTTAGGGGCCATGGTTCACCCCACGGCTGTGGTTCACCCCATGGAGGCACTTGGGACATGACAGATCCGAAGGCTTTCCTCATATGCTGGCTTGTTTTTTTTCCYTACAGTATATATATATTATTTTTTTCTTAAATGAGAAACTTTTATTGCTGCTCACAACTGAAAATACCTCAGCTCGGGCGGTTCGTGGGCCCTGGTGGCTCTCCCCATTTGTCTGACGCTGATTGTGTTTGCTCTGGARATGAACACTGCCGTATTTTTAGCACGGCTTATTAAGACTCGGCTCCTCAGGTCTCGTTCAGCACTTTTAATTAACTTCTTCGACGCCACCAGCCTTCTGCAGCACTCCTGTGCCAGGCAGGCTTGCGTTTCCTTGGCTAATAAGGCCAAGAAAAACTGAGGGAGCTCCTTGATATTTGAGTTAAGGAGGAGTAAGAAGTGTTATAAGGGTAAAGTACAAAAACCCTGAGTGTTTGTTGGGAGCCTCAACTTGCACGGACCCATGGGTGTGTGTTCTCTAATGCATCATGAACCAAGTTTGGCTTTTTTCTGGGTTCTTCAGGTCGGGTTAGCAGCAGTGACCACTGGTCTCCAGCCTTCACTTGCTGTGAAGCCCAGGAATGCCAGGACGTAGATGGCAGGAGAGGTTCCTCTCCTCATCTGACAACTATAATGCGGATTTCCTGGTCGCCTTAGAGATTCTGGGAGCTTTACCTTGCCTTGCAGATAACTGTGTTGGCACCATCAACAT